CGAGCCTTGGATTGCGGTTTTTGGTGTTCAAATTCGTTTTATTTAGCTATTGGGGTCTTGCTGCCAGTCCGTTTCAAACAGATGGCATAAGACCCTGTTGTGTGTCCAGAACAGAGCCACTGTGTTGTGTTCTCCATTGTAGACTATCATTAACATCACCGACGATAGAAACTCTTCCGCCAAAGCTGAGGCTGAGGCGGCTAAGCACCTAAGAACAAATCTAGATAGGTACCAGGAACTTGCACAGTCAGGGCCTTTTGTTTAATATCATGGGACACATCGTTCCAGACATGCTCAAAGTCAGGATGTCATTGATTTTTTTTTGGGTACTGATTGAACACTGGTCATGAGGGTCCCATCACTTGACAGAACTCTTGCGGAACTTTGATCGATCCATGCCAGCCTCATTGCTTGTGGAACTCCATGTCACCCCTACACCCGCGGCCCACGTTCCAGAGTTGTTGCAGAGGTCGGCTTGAATATATAGCTGTGCAGATTGTTGCCCATACGATGAAGGAGGTGACACGTGGCGGAATGAATGAGTCAAAGGACTTCTTTCTGCTGTCAATGATTCCGAAGGCATATCCAAGGGATGATGGTGAAAGAGCACGTTTCCACCATGGTGAAGTGGCATGTCTACCGGTGGCGACTGGCAAAGCAAGGTGTTTTCTTCCAGTAGTGAGGTGGTAGGTGAACTGGTGCGTTTCTAGTGGTCGTCGCTAGTAGGTTGGAGGCCATCGCTATTAGAAACAAGGAAAAAATGGAAGAAAGGTCTAATAGTAGCGTCCTTGCTCCTAGTAGTAAGGCCAGGAGCCCCTAGTAGCGTCCGAACGCTCCTAGTAGCGATGCCCTTTGTTCCTAATTAGTAGCTTTTTTGCTACTGTAATATAGTTTGCTACTAGGTCACACTGGTCACCAGTGGTGAAGTGGTACGCACCCCACAAGGCACCTTGTTGCCGTTGTGCTTGACGCTTCTATCGTTTTCCGCCTTTGAATGCTCTAGTACAAGCTGGAGGCGAAGCTTTTGGAGGAAGAGGTTTTTGAGTAAGCAGTGAACCAACATTGTTTGTGGCGTGAGCTCTACCTTCAACCCTGTGTTTGTGCAACAACTCATGCAGTCCCAGACCAGTTAGGGCAGGCCTCAAGATCCTGTCAAGATGCATCAGGGCCGCTAACCTTATTGGTTCACGCTCCAGGCATGTCTGGGTCGAAAAAGGCAGTGGCTTTGCGATGCCACGTTGCCAAGGTCGCTGCTTGCTCCAGGAACCTAATCGCGATGGCCTCCAACCTAGTAGCTTCTTGCTCCTAGTAGTAAGGCCAGGAGCCCCTAGTAGCATCCTCGCTACTAGTAGCGATGCCAGGAGCCCCTAGTAGCGTCCAGGAACGTTGCGTCACAAACGGCCGCGCCAAAGTTTGAGAGTTTGGAGGACACGTGTCGTCGGCAGGGATGCAGGCTGAGGAACAGGAAGGCCTTTGGGCTGAGCGTCGGCCCCAAACTTGTCGCAGCGGCGGTTGACAGGTGTCCAAAGTCCAGGCTTCACCCTGGCCGCCTCGCCTTTTCTCAGATTCTGAGAGCTTCCGAGTGCTCAAACTGCAGCCCGTCAGAGTCACACAACAATGTTTGTGTCGCACTGCTCAAACGCCCACAATCTTCTAGGTTTGCTCACACGAGCACTGCTCAAAGGTTTGGGCCTGCCCTGTACCGAACGACCGTGAGAAACCCACACAGTTCAGCTCTTTGAGCCCGGGCCTGCTTCGATTTGCGCATTTTTGTGGTGGACGCTCGCCTTAATCGCATCCCGGGCGAGGAAACTCAACAAATAACGGGTTTAGATATATGCCCAAGGACCACGTGTGGTGCCCCAAGCATTTACTACTAGCTTCTTGCTACAGCGATGCACTTTTTCTTAGTGGCGATGCACTTGCTTCGGATGCACATCACTTGTCACTTGTCAACATCTCAAGTTCTTCGTATGAACACGCTCCCGCGCACATCACTTAACGCCTGTTTAATCTTACTTCTATCGCGAAGGGCGTCGGCATTTTTGAGTTGTCATTCAAGACGGCTTTGACTGAAACGAAGCAGACTTTGACCCCGAGGCTTGGAGAAACACAAGAAGATTTGCAAAAAGGTGGGCCGATTGAGTGGCATGCATCGACTGTCATCGGTGAACATTTTGCAAGTTGGGCTGTGAAAGCAACAAAAGCAACTTTACCTTTTTGAAGGGGGTTCTGTGTGCAAAAGGGACAAAGCTGTGTCGTCGTCGTCGTCGTCGTCGTCGTCGGCAATGGTTTCAAACCCATATTGTTTATGACACCATCGCCAGTAGGTTGGAGGCCACTGCTATTACGTTGGAGGCCATCATTATTAGGTTGCAGGCCATTGCTATATTTGCGTAGAATATATTGTGTTTGCTAGTAGTAACAAGTGCATCGCTATTAGTAACAAGTGCCTTACTAGTAGTAACAAAGAAGCTAGTAGAAACAAGTGCATCGCTTCCAGTAACAGTCAACTTGCTTCGTGTCAGGTTTTCCAGCAGAAGCGCAAGCAGTTCAACAGTCGTTTGCTTATTTCCTAGAAGGGTGCGGCGGCACTTGCGGAGCAGAAATACCGTTGTTTGTGTTTTGCTCAGGTGCAGCCAATCGCTTGGGGGAATTCGACAATGCTCAAGAACTCATCGCGAATGCTGTGAAGTCTGGCCAGCTTCAGTTTAGAGCCCACTGCCGTGGCACTCGGACTTTTGCCATATACCAACACTTTTCAAACCTGGGAGCGGAGTTGATAATACTTGGCCACTCCAAAATCGCACATAATTTTGGGCCAGGAGTGAAAAAAGGGAGAAGGAGAACCATGCGGAGAAGTCCAAAAAGGATTGAAGCAGAGCTAGCAGCTATGCAAGCTTGTTACAGCTTGTTGTTTTAGCCATTCCAGCCCTATGGATGTGCAGCATATGCAAGGACAAGTCAGTGCCCAAGTGGAAAGCACAGCCCGCTGGCTCAGCAGACCCCAAATCTTCAAATCAAAAGTACATAAACTACAGCTCTTGTTGAAAGTAGACCACTTGCTTTCTCAGTATATTGTTAAACCTTTGTTCTTTCTAAATGTCGTTGTCCTTTGTAACTATGTTTTCTGTGTTTTCCTCTTTTTGGGTGTGAAACCGACGCCTCACTAAACGAACGTGAAGACGCCCTGGTTCTTTGTAACTATATTTTCTTTGCCGCCTAATTATGTAGGTGCCTACTTTTATATAATTAAGTAAGGCTAGACTAGTAGCTATTAGGTACCAAACACGCTCCTAGGTAGGACGCAGGATAACTCACACTTCTTCAAGGAAGCTCCCCCCGCCGCCCTGAAGGCCGCGGGGGGAGCTTCCTTGAAGAAGCACTAATCATTCGGCTCCTAGATTCGTAGAAGAAAAGAGCTCTCAAGGCTCTTGCTTGTTCACACACCGCGTTTTCACCTCTTACATCCTTGTAGCTCAGGTCGTTAGCTTTTCGTCAGGCCATTCTGTCTGCAAAGGTGCCTCTCACACTTCACATTGAGCATTCTCTTCCTTTTTCTGTTTTCATTGCCTCCTCAAAGTTGAGCAAATTCAAGCTGTGGGCAGGGGGCCTCTGGTGATTCTGAAGCTGCTAAAAAGGCGCTCTCCAACTCGAAAGTGGAATGCAGACTGCACGGCAAGACATGTTTGGACTCGCAAAAAAAATCCAACCGCTCACGTAGACTGTTTGCACTTTAAAAGAGACTCATAAAACTTGCAGCAAACTGTTTCGTCCTGTCGAAGTTGACGGGATAGGACCAGTTGGACACATCTCAGCTTGGTTGGTTCAGGCTGCAGAAATACAGAAGGAGCTGAATGCAGCAAACCTGGCCTCCGGAGGAAATGTCATGGAGAGTGACATGGTGAAATGCCAGAAGCCTAGGAGGCCTATGGTGGCCTAAGAAAGTCAACTCAAATTTGATTTTTAGGTTTAAGAAGCTTGCCCAGAACAGAGCGGAAGGCACAAGAATAGAGAAGAAAAGACAGAGATGAAAAAGGGGAGTTCTTATTCATCTCATGTTTCTTTTCTTCTTTGTAGAATCAACTTGCAACGCCTGGAGAGTTGAACCAAGGTCCTCATTGTGGCCGAACTTTCAACGAAGAGGACATTTGTTGCAGCTCCCTTGTCATCTATTTGTTGCATTTGTTTCCCACCATGAAGTGTGGAACATGCAGTGCAGTTGGAACATCTTGCAGGCAGGGCAGCGGCACATAGCCATTTGCCTGAAGACCTTTGGTGGCAAAGGCCGCCAAACAAAGGCTCGCTCGCCAGCTGGTTTGCTCAAAGGACCTTTAAAGGCCGCTTTGCCCGCCAACCTACTAGTGATGGCCTCCAACCTACTAGCGATGGATTGTCCAGAGGCTCTACAAGCTCTCAAAGCTTTGCTCAAAGTTCGCAAAGTTCCCACTCGATCGCATGAGATTTGCAGAGTAACGAGAGGAAGCGAGTCCTCCATAGACGAAGGAAGAGGTTGTCCCCTTACACAGCCTGAGTTGGGGCTTCTTTGGAGGACCTTGGCCAAACGAGTTTGGCATCGAATCAACGAAGAACCGTTTGGAATCTACTAGCGATGGCCTCCACCGTAAGGGCACCCTAGTAGCGATGGCCTCCAACCTAATAGCACAGAATCAAATAAAAAATATTATTCGCTACTAGTAACAAGTGCATCGCTAGTAGTAACAGGTGCCTCACTAGTAGACACAAGAAGCTATTAGTAACAAGTGCCTTACTACTAGTAGCAAAGAATCAAATAACATTCCAGGCAATGGTAGTTCCAGGCTTTCGAACACAAACGAACCAGACTCTAATGCCAAGCTTGGGACAGCAGAGAGCTCAGGAGGACCAAGAAACAGTCAAGAATACTACAACATTTGAACTACCTGCAGATCACAGGCAGATAACCCAACCTGCAGAATACGATAATTTCACAAAAGCCAGCTGCAGTTTGCATCGATGGCATGGCTGAATTCCCCGCGCTTCCATCTCCATCTGAAGGACTTTGAATTTTCATGAATCTTCCTAGCATTTGCACTCGGAACACTGTTATTTTTTGGAAGGAGTTGCATCTCTTGACATTGAGACATTTCTGGAAGCTTTGGATGGCCCACCTCAACAAGGACAGCTTTCTGTTATTCTTTTTGCTAGAGCAGTCAAACCCCACTTATATAACTTATATAAGTTTCCTAAAACATTGGAGGCCATCGCTATTAGGTTGGAGGCCATCGCTACTAGTTTCCTAAGAAACTAGGAACCAAACGCAGAAGGGCTCAGGCTTCTTCAAGGAAGCTCCCCCCGCCCTCAGGCATGGAGCTTCCTTGAAGAAGCTTGAGAAGGGCTCACGTTCTACACAATAGCTACTTAGTCTCAATAGCTACCCCATACTTGTTAGCCACCTGTAAGCTAAATACGGCCCACCTCTCAAAATCTAGGAACCAAATGAATAGTGTGAGCGTGAGCTATCCTGCGTCCAGCAGGTAGTAGCTTACTTGCTTACGCAAGCTTAAACTACTATCCCTTACTTGTACATAGCTACTTAATTATGTAAGACAAACAGCTTGCACCAAAACAAGAAAAGGACGCACTTTGACTCGATGCCACAGGCCAGACAGATCTCACGGAAAATCGGTCCAAGTCCAAAATCCATTTTCACTAGCGATGCACTTGTTCCTAGTAGCTTCTTGTTACTACCAGTAAGGCACTTGTTACTACTAGCGATGCACTTGTTCCTAGTAGCGAACATTGTTACTACCAGTAAGGCACTTGTTACTACGTACTAGCGATGCACTTGTTACTAGTAGCTTCTTGTTACTACTGCCAGACTCGGCAGAAAACAGAATTCGCAACACGCAACCGTCGGAATCCGAGGCCACGCTTGCTGACGATCGATGTGCGTTCACCAGCTGAATTTGAGGAGGGCCACATCCCAGGAGTGCAAAACATCAGGGCTGCAAGCTTTTGCTTCATTTTTGCGGGCTAGAGTACAAGAGCACACCCAACAGTCATCAACAGTCGCAGCGCTGGTTTTCTGTCTTCTGAAAAGTGTGACATGGACCTGGATATCTACTGCAAGTTGCTGCAGTCTCAGGTGGTTGTGAATAGGGCTTTCTGTGTGCAAACGTTGGTCCCCTCGACGTTGTAATTGCGAGGAAGGCTCGTCCCCGTCTCACCCCCTTAGGGTTGCAAAGTTGCAAATACGGGCCACACGATGCACCCAGCACCGCTGCGCCCACCGCTCTGTTGGCTGGTCGTTGATCGCATTGAATGGTAGGACCTGGTATGATGTTGGTCATCCCATTTTCTTAGTAACAAGCTCCTGGCATCGCTACTAGGAGCAAGGACGCTACTAGGTGCTCCTGGCCGTACTACTAGGAGCAAGTAGCCACTAGTAGCAAGAAACTACTAGGGTGTCCTGTTTTGCTCAAGCCATCGTGCCATGCCACGCCTTGCCACGCCTTGCCTCCGGTCAATGCCCTGTGTCTTGTGCTTTTGGTGGCTTGGACATGTGGCCATGCCTCAAAAGCCATAAGCTTTGTTGTTCATGTCCTCTTTGTTACCCAGCAGTTTTGGCAGATGCTCCTATAGCCTCTAGGCCACCAGAATGGGACGAGGTTGTGGTATTCTGAAGATACAGTCAAGTCGGCTGGTCCGGTCCATACCTGCTCCAGACCGGCACGATTGAGGCATTCGCATGCATTGTTCCTTCTTACGTATGATGATCATTTGTGGAAGGGTCCATGGCCCCGTTCTATGTGTTGTATGCGTTCATGTTTGGAGCTTCACCACTTGCGTTGGACCTCTGGAACAGGAGGTCAATGCAGGGCACAGGTGGCAAAGTGGGAACAAGCACAGGTTTCAGTCTAGCTGACGCCTACGGGGCTTGGGATTCCCATCATCCCGAAAAGACAATGCACGATTGCAAGACGCTCGATTTGTAGAAGCGTACCGCTGGTTTGTTAGGTCAATTGACGAATGGCCGAATGGCAATCTAAAGCATGAATGTTGGTTGCAAGGCATTCGATTGTTGAGGCATGTGGCGCATCCCCTCCTTAGTTTTTTGCTGTTTGTCACCAGTTCACATTGCCAGCGCTTCAGGAGCGGTCAACATACCTCTTTTTGACAATGAGTCGCGTGCGGTGGTGGGCACCGACTTCAAGCGCAAGGGCCGCTATGAGGTCAGATGCCGAATTTCCCTGCCAATCGAACTGATTTGGCATTTGACCTACTACGACCTGTTACAAAGCTGAAAAAACAACACTTAATGAAGAAACACCTAGAAGCAATGGCCTCCAACCTAATAGCGATGACCTCCAACCTGATAGCGATGGCCTCCAACCTAATAGCGTTGGCCTCGAACCTAGAAGGAATGGCCTCCAACCTAATAGCGATGACCTCCAACCTGATAGCGATGGCCTCCAACCTAATAGCGTTGGCCTCGAACCTAGAAGGAATGGCCTCCAACCTAATAGCGATGGTCTCCCCCTACTAGCGATGGCCTCCAACCTAGAAGCAACGGCCTCCAACCTAGAAGAGATGGCCTCCAACCTAGAAGCAATGGCCTCCAACCTAGAAGAGATGGCCTCCAACCAAGAAGAGATGGCCTCCAATCAAGAAGAGATGGCCTCCAACCTAATAGCAATGGAATCTTCCTGGAAGAACGCACGAATTACTTGAATCATTTTGCATCCTTGCAGTCCTCGCATGCTACCACTTAGCTCCCGACTTACTCCCGCCGGAAAAGAAAAGAACAGAATAGTAAACTGACATACTGTTCTTGTCAAGCCCTGTCTTTCGTTCTTCTCTTCATCTCATGCTCTTTCGGTTTAACAAGTTTAAGATTGAAGTCAGAAGTCGTGTTTTCTGTTTATGTCAGACATTCGTTTTACGTGAACGACATCTCTGACTCTTTGTATCCTTTCCACTAATCTTCCCGAGTCTTCCTAACACGGCATTGCATTCTCTCTCGCTCTCTCTCTCTCTCTCAGTGGGTTGCCTTGTGTATGTGCACCCGGATGAGCTCTCAAGCCTTTCCCGCAGATAAATGAAAGGAAAGACTTAGGTTGGAGGCCATCGCTATTAGGTAGGGGGGGCACAGCCACCTTTTAAGCAGTCCTTTTAAACTGTTCTTACAGAATTGACACTTGCACGATCAATGACTTCTTACACGTGAAGGTCCCCAGCATTGGCCTGGAGGTTTCCAAGGGACTCCGAACATGTGTAGTATTTGTTCCTAGGAGCGAACTTCTCCTAGTAGTAACAAGTGCCACGCTAGTAGTAACAGGTGCCTTACTGGTAGTAACAAGAAGCTATTCTTTCTTCTCGGGTCACTTGGGTTTCCTTGGTGATGGTCCAGTCCAACACACTTTTGGCGAAACAGTGAGCAAGGATTGAACAAACATTCACTCAAAGGGTTTTTCTTTCCCCATACACAAAGCCTTCTATTGACTCTTCGCTTGTCAAGATTTTCCATCAAAATACTAGATCAAGGTTTCTCAAAGGCGCGGCCAAAGTACAAACTAACGCCAGACGCAGGTTGCAAGAACAAGTTCTTATTGGTAGGGGCCACCCAAATTTCAAAGGGATCCTTGTGAAGAGCTTGGAGACCGAAAAGTTGCCAAGAACATGTGTCATTTGACTTAAAGAACCTTTGCCCTTGACTCCAAATCGAAGGGTCTTCACATTCCCTTTGCAAAAGCCACCTAGAATTGACACCAGGTGTAAGGCTTGAGCCGCCTACCCAAAACACATATTCCTCACAATTGTATTGGAGGCCTTGTTGCATTGAGAAACGAAGACAGCAATTAAACAACAGAAGCAAACTGCATTTAGGGGTTTCCTGAATAACCTTATGTATTTATTGTTTTGTTTTGTTTGAATGTCTATAACAGAATTAAGATAGCGAGGTTCTCGACTTGCAGCTTGTTTGGGCTTGGGCGGGAACGGCCCCAGTCAGGTCTCGTCAGGTCAAGGCTTCGTGTTCCGTCAGGCTTCTTTAGGTTTCGATGAAGCTACCGACGTACTGAAGCCATGTGACCCACTTCGCCCAAAAAGCCGTCCCGTCCTGCTCGTTTTCCAAAAATGCCGGAGAGGGCTTGAGGTTGGGCTGTCATTCGTTTGCATGCTGCTTCGCAAAATGGTCTTGGCGTCAGGCAATTCGTAAAGGATTGCAGCTGGCTGGCCCCAACTTTGCCAGTTTCTTGGACACTTTGCAGGACTGAGCAGTTGTCGGCTTCTTTGTGCAGAGACTTCATATTTTCCTGGGCTAACTGAGGAGCATGGGGCCAAACATGGAAGCCGTTTGTTGGTTTATTGCGGGAGCCCCAGCTCTTCGAGTGGCGCTCAAAGCCGTTCCCACGAAAGCCGTTCACCGCACAAGTCGGATGCTATGCGACGTTGAGTAGACTGGCCCATTGCTTGGAGGCCATCGCTATTAGACCGGTTATTCCTTTCTTTTTTAGACCTGAGTTTTTTTCCTGTTTGTTGTAGACACCTCCCATGATATACAGAACCATCTAACCCTGCAGATAGTGCGATGTTCCAAGCCAATGTGCGAAGGGGTAGACACACTTTGAGACGTTCTTTTTATTTTGGACTTTGGGTCAATGATTTGCACCAGTTGTGCAGTACAAGGGGGATTTGACTTCATGATATGGCAGCCTCGTACCAAAGAGCAAGGAAACATCAGAGCAAAAACAACTTCACAAAGTAAGAAACACATGGATTTTACCAAGTTCATATCAAGTTCAATGAACACTTGATCAAGATTGTCAGAAGTGTCCCGCTAGAGCTTGGTTTACGGAGCTTCGATGTTTGATACCTTGAGAGCTTGCCTTGCTTGGGTGGCCTGGATAGTCCTGGATAGTCTGAGCTCGATATCGGAGCTTCAAAATCTCCAAAGCCCACCATCAGCCGCGACTACCCAGTACTACCACCACCACACTTGTGTTCCAGCTTGCAACACAGACACAGGGACCTGTTTATAGGACTATGTGGCGCTACTCTCTTTGCATGGTTTGATCAAGGCAATATCACGACCAATCTTGGTCAATGTTTCTTGTTTTTAACGTTCTGGGCCAGAAACAAATAAGCAGGAAGCACCAACCTGGGATCAAGAGATACACCCCGACTCAAAAACAAGAGAATAACAAAGATGACAAACATACTTATGTTTCTTCAGCCTTTTCCAATTCTTGCTTTTGTAAAAGCATATTGTCGGCCATCGCTTCTAGGTTGGAGGCCATCGCTATTAGGCAGAAAAACAAGGGTGAAAGGCTGTCGGCTTTGTGAGGTTGGCGCGGAGGGATGCGCTCCGGGTCGATGGCCTGGCTATTCTCGCTGAGCGGCTATGAGGCTGGCTTTTGAGGGCGTCAGGTTGGGTTTGCTGTTTGTTTTTGGTGCAAGTATTTCCCATTCACGTGTTTGTAAGTATATTAATTAATCATAATTAATCATGTGTGTGTGCCCGCGTGCGCATGGGTGTGTTGTTAGTGTGTGCATCTTGGAGTCACAGGTTACCTTCGGACTTTAAGTTGGCGGAGGGTGCCAGAGATGCACACTGGAAATCGCTGGACTAGCACCAAAGAAGACGCCAGCGTTGCATTTGTCAAATCGATCTGGGACGCTGGATTGACGTACCTGCCATATGGCTGTGAGACCCTTCGCAGGTGCTTTCGAGGAAACGATAGATCAACCCCTCTCCATGCAAGTGGGGCACAGGCCACAGCACACAGACTCAGCAACTATCGCAAGCTGCCGCACCAGGGCCAACCTTTTGGTGTCATCCTGCCCGCAAAAAGAAAAGAAGCAGGTGCAGCAGAGGAAATAAGCGGGTGCGGTCCTCAGTGCTAGGGACTTCCACAGAGGAACGCAGCACTATATCCACCTGAAAAGGGTCTGTAAGTTGGACGGGGCGGGCATTTCTGATTCAACATCAAGCTGAAAAAGAGAAGGCCGCGCCCTTCGCTTCAAAACCAGACACGTGCGCAACAAGAAGCGCTCTCAAGAGCGGCCACACCCAACTCAAAAAGCGAAAGAACACTGGATCAAAGAGCAAGGTAGTATGCAAGGTTTAGCCCAAAGCATGCAAGCAAACTTATGAGCTCCAGCCATAACGGAACATACTTTTACATGTTCATTGATCTTTTGAGATGAGATCACACGACACACAAGCGAGCCACACCACGACGCACAAGCGATCCCGATCGCCCTTGACAAGCAAACTCCCCCGAGTTTCAATGGGCCAAATCCACGAAGTCAACAAAACAACACATGCACATGCCGATGCGTGTCTGCAGACCTGAAAGACCTAAACAACCATTTTCATCTTCACCTTCATCAGCATCGCAATCGATCGATCGATCGATCCATCATCATCATCATCGTCGTCGTCGTCGTCGTCGTCGTCGTCGTCGTCGTCATCGTCATCGTCATCGTCATCGTCATCGTACAGGTGCAGAGATGCCGGTGATGCAATTGTTATTACACTAACACTTGTGGCGACAATGTGTAAAAAGAGCAAACTAGTGACTAGTGTGCAAAGGTTTGCATAACACCCTGTTTTTCCAGCCGCTGTGCCTGAAAAGTGATCCCTATGACGTGTTTCTCCACCATGTCGCGAACTGCGTGCCAAAGATAGTCTCGAAAACCATCAGGGTTCAACCCCCTTGTAAACAACAACATGAACGTCATGTAGACTTTTTGCACCGCACCCAGAAGAAAGAGGAGGGACAACTCCGGGTTTTTTTATGACCTCCGGGTATATAGGTCGATTTTTGTAGACCTTCCTTCAGAGGAAGAAAAGCATTGCCCACCCCCGACCTCGACAGCGGACCGAAGTGAGCGTCAGCCGCACCCCACCCCACTTCTGAGACTTGATGACATTTTGATTCATGGACTCATGGACATGATTGCTACTAGGGGCTCCTGGCATCGCAACTAGGAGCAAGGACGCTAGGGCCGCTAGGGGCTCCTGGCCGTACAACTAGGAACAAGAAGCTACTAGTAAGAAGTTGACTTATCCAGCCAAACAACGCTTGTCTGCACGTGCTCTTTTGTTTGGAAGGTACAAACGTTGCAAGGCGGATATAGGAGCTATCGCCGATGGTGTGCCTTTGGTTGCAAACAGGCGGAAAAATGAACACCGTCCAAGGTGTTAATTGAGTTAGACCGTGGCTTGTATGGAACTGTTTGGGCTTCAGTTCCGGGTACAGTACATGCAACGTGAGAGCATGATTAGATTCAAGCCTTACTGAACATCAGCAGGCTCCAGCAGTGTGAGCTTGAATGACTGTGTGCATACGTACTTCCATCGCTACTAGGTTGGAGGCCATCGCTACTAGGGCGGAGGCCATCGCTAGTAGGTTGGAGGAGTGGCTTAACATTACAAAAGGCCAGTAACTTGGGTGTGGAGCAAAATGCTGACTCATGCCACCTGAAACTGTGCACCTGCGCGACGTTTGGTTTGGTGTCATTCAAAAACAGTTTTCGTTTTACAAGCATTACTTTGCTAGGCAAGAAAATGGTTGGGCCAGATGCCATCCCTCCTGCCCCAGTGACTTGGCTAAGTGGCAAGTAGGACATCAGGAGATGTGAGAGACAACGGAGCAACATGTTCTACTGGAAGCAACCAAGGCACAAGAAACGACACAACAATTGAACAAGTGCAAAGTGATACAAAGGAGCCCCTAGTAACTTCTTGTTACTACTAGTAAGGCACTTGTTACTAATAGCTTCTTGCTCCTAGTAGCATGGCACTTGTTACTACTAGTAAGGCCTAAGGCCTAGGTTTCCCTGTGAGTGAGCATCATGCATCCAACGTGTTGCCGTGTTGCTTTCCAGACCTCAAACACAGGTGATGGTCTTGGGCGGATGTACTGGTGTCTGATGCTTGGAAGCGTTCGACGTGGTGTCTTGCTTCTTCTTAAAAGATCTGTTTCAAACCCTTCGCGAGGTGGGAAAAACTGCAATTCTTCACGAACTTCGCGCGAGAGGAAAGCAGATCCTGGACCTAGAGGAAGGGAACGTATCGCCATCTGCTTGTCGGTCCAAAGCACCTGCTAAGTACGATTTGCAGTAACAAGTGCCTCGCTAGTAGTAACAAGTGCCGTACTAGTAGTAACAAGAAGCGAACGTAGAAACAATAAGCTAATAGCAAACATTGTTTCTACTAGTAAGGCACTTGTTACTACTAGCGAGGCACTTGTTCCTAGTAGCTTCTTGTTACTAGCAATGGCCTCCAACCTACTAGCGATGGCCTCCAACCTAGTAGCTACTTCTTGCTACTTAATATTCTTTGCTTTGCCAAGCGTTTTCTTCCTTCAATTTCATTGAGTTTCCGGCTTTTGGTCGGCAGGGATTGGCAAAGCACCGGGGCTCTGCCTTTGGCCCCTGCCCAAGCTGTTCGCTGTTCACAAGCTGTGCCATGCTTCTCAGTTTGTGAGGTGCGACTGGCAAGACTCAGCCAAGCAACGAGGAGCGTTTTGAAGAAGAACAGTGAACAACATCGCTACTAGGAGCCAAGACGCTCCTAGGGGCTCCTGGCCTTACTACTAGGAACAAGGAGGCCAGTAGGTTGGAGGCCATTGTTCTAGGTTGGAGGCCATCATTCTTCCAACAGATGCTTTCAAAAAGACATGTCCAGTGGGAGGCCTTCGAGAACATTTTGGCCTTTGCCGTCCGAAGAGTACGCCCAAATTGCTGCCTGTGGATTGAACACGAGGCAAAACATGTGGGCAAGGCAGGGCGGCACAGCTGCGTAGCATGCAACGCATGGATACGCATGGCACGTCTCGCGGTAACTTACTTCCAGTGTTTTAGTGTAGTGTCCTTAGTCCGTTGATGTCCTGTGACAAACATTGTTTCTGATCTAAAGTTAAGCAAGGCGAGGTAAAGCTAAGCATTGGAAAAGGGTGACATTTGGTCTAGGCCTTGGTTCCTTCGGGCATTGCATCCTGGGTCTCTGATGCGACTCTTGGTCAGAGCCTCATCTGGAAGAGAACAAAAGCCATTTGGACACATAGCAATTCTAATAGCAAACATTGTTATTACTAGTAAGGCACTTGTTACTAGTAGCGATGCACTTGTTCCTAGTAGCTTATGGTTTCTAATGCAAGTGTGTTGTTTTGACCGTGACCACACTCTAGTAGCGATGGCCGATGGCCTCCAACCTAGTAGGGATGACCGATGGCCTTCTACCTAGTAACGATGGCCTCCAACCTAATAGCGATGGCCTCCCACCTACGGATTGGATTTTTGTGTAATGAAGAGATTCATCATAGCCTCTGTCCATGTTTTGCAGGCTGTGAGAAATGGACATAATTAAGAATTAAGATCCGATGCTTTCGCACGGCATGTTGCGCCTGCTGAGTATTCCAACATCGGAGTACGGAGATGGGACATGTTAGACATGAAACTATAGACTAGCAACTAAACACTCAACAGCACTGCAAATACCTCCCTGAATATACAAAGGCAGCTGCTTGACACTGTGACCTGACTCCCCCCATCTCCAGCATGTTGCGTTTATCATACTTCTCGCTATTCATGTCTATCGCGTTTCATCGAAACAAGTGAAATTGGCTCAAGGCCACTTATCAGAGTTTTCGGAGTTCTGCAGCTTTACCAATATTGTGACGCTCACAGCGCTCACAGGCGCTATGGTGGTGATCTCTATGCCCAAAGATCTGCGGGTACGTAGATTGGTGCAAGATTACTGCAGCGATGCCAGCGAAGAGACCAGGGACCAGCTGAAGCAGTGCACTTTGATCACAAGACCAAGCAGATTTTGGATCTGGTTTACCCCATCTTGTCTCAAGCATTTTAATGCTTCTTTACTTGCTTTTCCACTCTTGCAATCTCCTGCATTCTTTCAAAAGGAGTGAATCGAAGAGCTGACATGAGGTTTAACTTGTTGCCGTGGTTGCGGTGGTGGTTACGATTGCCCGTGGTTGCTTCGGCTGTGACTCATGGCTGTTGTGGCTGCTGTGGACTTTTGCTGCTGTTGTGGGTCTGGGGGTTGTAGCTTTTTGTGGCTCTTGTGATTGTTCTTGTCTTCGCACCTGTGGTGGCTGATTATGGTGGCTAGGTCGGAGGCCGCCATCGCTCCTTGGCCGTCGCTCCTCGGTTGGCTAGAAATGCCCCATCTCCACAAGGCACTGACGACGCGCATTGACCCCTCAGACCCCAGCTGGCAAAGGTAGAGCTAGCCTAAATTGGACCCTGCCAGGCTACCTCCCTGGAATGCAACGTGTTGCAAGGGACAGAGTGGAAGTATGGGGGGTACGGTAAATTTGGTGAGTGCACTCGGGCCACGCGCTTGAGTCCTTTGAGATGCGATGATTGTTGAAGGCAAGCAGAACTGCAGGAGCAAAAGGAACCCAAAGACTATTAGCTTCTTGCTCCTAGTAGTAAGGCCAGGAGCCCCAGTAGCGTCCTTGCTCCTAGTAGCGATGCCATAAAACCGTATTGCATTTTGAAGGGGGGTAGGCTGGTCAGAGGTCTTGCAGAAACATTTCGTAAACTGGATCCAACTCCTCCTGGTGTACTGCTTCACTTGTGGAAGGTGGGAGGTCTTAACCGCTCAAGATGCTCATGGAAGTATCGGCTTAAGCTGATTTTGCTGCGTGAAGTCCTAGAACCTCCACAGAATCTGAAAATACCAACCTCTCAGAAAGGTGAGACATGAATTCCGAATGAATGGAGCGGTAGCAAAATGGAATTGAGCGATTTATGCCGAGCGATTGCGTGGTGTACTTGTCATAAGTTTATGATCCTTTGGTAGCTTGTCACCGCTTTGCACATCAGCTGGAAGATCTCCAAAATTTATCCAATTTCCTTCACTTTCCGCCCACCTCACCACCATCTCCAGGCACCACTTCAGTCTCATTTGCTCATTCGTCAACTCCACAGGTTCCATGGAGGCTCTCTCTGTGGAGCCATGGCTGGTTCTCAAAGGCTCCAAGTGAACCCAGCTCCGAATCCTTTTCCTCCCACTTCTTGAGGCCGTTCCGTTTGTGTCGCTGTTGCTTCCACCGACCTGGCTTTCATCAGCCAGTGGTACAAGAAAGGGCTTTGAGTCACACTCATGCCCATTTCCTCTCCCGTGACTGTACTCCTGGCGGGTAAAGTGGCAGGTTGTTGATGCCATAGGTGGTCTTAACGCTCTTGAAGAGGTAAATTCACCGCCGGCGTGTTTTGATTGCTTGGCTGCTAGTCACATAGTATATGTTTGGCCGCTCGCGAAATGGCATACGGTATATTTGTTCCACGAAGCAGTATTTGTGTGTGTGGCCGCTGCATCAAGTGCACTATTTTGGTGAAGCCAGGATTCAAAGTTAGGGCACTTTGCTTTCTTGTAGGATTCCAAGTAAATTGTGGTGGCAAGCGGTTGCCATGGATACTTCTCCCGTCCTCAATCAGTGTTAATTTGGGGTGAGGTTGCTCCAATACGCCTGAGAACCTTGGGCGTACCTTGCTTCATTGCTCCACACCAAACGAAATTGCATTGGAATGATCTCGTTTCACAGAGCTGAATCAAAGGAAGCCAGTCTTTGGTTCTAGCATCTAATCCTTTCAACTTGATTTTTGTCCACAAGCAGTGTTAAGCATGGTTTGCTGAGGCCTTCATTTGTCTGACTAAAACAAGTCATTTGCATTCCTTCCCGCCTTCCCTGTCGTCCAGGTATTTCCGGTGGTTTGGCCAAGCGATTGGGCGGCCAGCGGGTCAAGGATGCTTTGCGCTTGTTGGATGAGAGCCGCTGGGATGAGGTGCCTTTTGGTTGCCCGAGTTGCCTACCATTTGGCTTGCCTTTTTATCATGTCTTTCAAAAGGCCCAGTCGCCCTACCATTTTTCTGATTTGGTTAAAGAATCAAGCATTATAGATTATAACATATAACATATTGTTTAGTTCTTGCATTTAGCCTGTGAGTCAAACTGCACTCACCAATGCTGGCAATTACCACCAATTCACCTGCAGTCAATTGTTACATTGGTCCTACAGTAAAACCTAAGTCTCAGCCGTAAACATGTAAGAAATTAGTAAAGTACCTCTTACTGCTTCAATAGCAGTGCGAAATCGAGACTGTACCAGCCCCAGCATGACGCCAGAAATCTACCGCTACTGGTGAACTGGTGAACTTGGTAAACTGTGAAAAGAACACTTACCAATTTATTGTTTTTGTAACATGTATATAACAGTAAGTAAACTTTTGTAACATTGAACCACTTCATCAGCAAAGCTTCACCACTTCAGTGACAAAGCGATACCTATAGGTGGCACCTAAATGGCACCTGCCGGGCACCTACTAGGAGCAAGGACGCTACTAGGGGCTCCTGGCATCGCTACTAGGAGCAAGAACGCTACTAGGAGCAAGGGCATCGCTACTAGTAACAAAGGGCATTACTACTAGTAACTAGTAGCATTCTTGCTACTAGTAACAATCAGTGACATGTTTCACCTTTTCCCAAACTCTGTTCACCCCCGCCTCAAGTGAACATATTTATTGATAAATCCTCACTACTTCTAGAAAAGTCTTGTTCTTGGGACACGTGTCCCGTTGATTATCAGAGCTTTTGTTCTTTACAATAACACCTGTCATTTTACACAATTCCCATGCCTCTTGCCTTGCCAAGCCTTCAACTTGAAGGCTATTCTGATTAAAAGGTTCTCCCGTAATAAACCCTACAATTGTATCAAGCCTCATTCATCGCGACAGTTGTCTTTGTACGGGTCTCATCCTGTGGAAGTTCAAACCTGTCCTTAATGTCTTCTTGTCGTCCATACTCCGCCACGTACGGGGCAAGAAACCTGCGCAGGCTCGAAAAACAATCTCTTCCTAGTAGCTTCTTGCTACTAGTAGTATGGCCAGGATCCTAGTAAGGTCCTTGCTCCTAGTAGCAAGGCCAAGAGCCCCTAGTAGCTTCTTGTTCATGGTCTTACAAAAGGAACCGGACACACAAAAACACAGTTGTTAATTGTTAAGACTTGTGAAGGTTTTGCAAGGGGCAAAAGGTAGCAGCTCAGGCAGGACAAATGTGGACATCAATGGGATTGGACTCGTGTTAGTGTCGGATACTCCAGGACAAATCTCAATACGTGGAAGTATGGAAGATGGTCGCAAATACAGTAGCTTCTTGTTACTAGTAGCGTCCTGCCGTCCTTGCTACTAGTAGTACGGCCAGGAGCCCCTAATAGCGTCCTTGCTCCCAGTAGCGATGCCCTTTGCTCCTAGTAGCTTCTTGCTCCTAGGAAGATTTATTGTGCAACGTCATGGTCGCAAATACAGTTAACATCCTTTTGGGACACCAGCACAAAACCCCAAAGACACGTGCTAGTAATAGTAATGTTTGAGAAGCACCGCTGGCAACCCAGATGGCACAATGCAGCGGCAAACCTTTACAAACATTGGCACATACTGCCTATAGAAACCAACAAGAAGCATCCCACTCCCACAAATTGAATACAGTCCATGCACACAGAATGCACCTCGCGCATGCCATATTCGAGGCGTGACGTGGGCACTTGGGCATTGACACTGTTGTTCTTTGCCTGATTGCATATCCAGTTTTCTACCTCTAGCCTTGCAACTGCGAAATGATGTGGTTTCTCCAGGTGGCATCAATGATGTTGGATTATTATGACACACTTTACAAGAAATGGGCCAGCCAAAGTCGCAGCTCCAAAAGGATCGAGGTGGATTGCCCTTGGCTGAGAGGGTCACCAGTGAGGATGAAACGAGGTAAGCTTGCGAAACGGATTCAAATCATCCCCGGTGATGTTTTCCATGTGTTTTGTCCTGTTTTCAATCATTTTTTCCCTTCCTTTTTTCAAGGAACAACTCATGAAGCTCCGTGTTTAATCTCATTTTCCTTCCAAAACTTGATGCGTTTTGCTATATCCAAGGTCCGACGCTTGACGCCGCAGGAAATGCCGATCTTGTTGTGCAAGCAGTTCAGTGACAGCCTTACTCAAGCTGTTCAGTAAAATAGGACGAAAAGTGAAGAGAAAAATTAAACAACAGGCCAAGGGCTTTAGTAGAAGGGACTATATCAATTTATCCAGGGTCGGTTTGCTCACCCTGTGGTCCTCATCCTCAAATCTTGTTCTGATTGCCGCTTGCACTCCTTTTCTGGCTTTTCTTTGCTTTTCTGAAAAACACGAGTGACCGATTGTCCCAGCGTGATGTTTACCCTCTTGCTGTTTCACTTCTGTGTGTTCATAATGCTGACACCCTGTGTGTGTATTCTGTCACGTGCTTGTTAACCGGAAGGGTGGGACTGGGAGGGGGAAGAAACCAAAGCAACCAGTGGCAAGAAGAAGACAAGGAGAATATGATAAGAGGCAAAGGATACAGAATAAGGTATACAAATCGAGAGTCACAAAAATAAGCTACTAGTAACAAGGTGCATCGCTACTAGTAGCAAGAAGCTACTAGTAGCTAAGTGCATTTCTACTAGTAACAAAAAGCTACTAGTAGCGATGCACTTGTTACTAGTAGCGATGCCCACAGCTTTAAACATGACACTCGGCTTGGAATGGGCTAACCTCCTTCGTGCTTGCTGCAACTTGACAAGGAATGCAGTTCTTGTGATGTATTCTCTTTAACCACAAGATTCAAATCCTGCCATTTGGGTTTGACTTTGTACTTGTTGGGAATAGGATGATGAGAATGGCGGGGCTTGATGGCGATGCGTTGGTGCTCCACCTTCACCACATCCCCTAGTAGCGTCCTTGCTCCTAGCAGCGATGCCAGGAGCCCCTACTAGCTTCTTGCTCGTAATAGTGGTTTGCTCCACTTTCATTCTTCGCGCTTTCGGTTTGGTCAAGCACCACGAGTTGTTGCGTTTGGAAAAGGTCTCACAGGCTCGTAGTGCAGTCGGGTGCAACGCACGGTTTGAGGGCTTCATAGGATGTGCGGTGGGTATCTCTTATTGGGCTAGAGACACAAGCGGAGATTCTTATAGAAAGGTGTAGACAAGGATCTTTTTATTTAAGGCCCGCTCTTCGGTTGGAGGCCATCGCTAGTAGGAAAGGAAAGGAAAGTAGAAGCCTTAGAGGAAAACAGCAGACGAGTGGAACTTCCCAGACACCAGACAGACTGCATAGAAACTTTTTTGGAAGAACAGAGGACAAGCAGCCCTGAGAACCAACAGGAGATACACGGACACGATTTATGTGAAACCAATGCGATAAACAATGAGACTGAGTGCTAAAAGATTTAAGAAGGGAAACAATTTGTCATTCCCTCTTCCACCCAATGAGACATGAGAGGGAGGTGAAACATGACGGCAATCTTTAGGCAAGGGACATGTGAGGACAAGTCTTGCATGTTGCGGCAGCATGATAGTGCAATCATGGCCTAGAGTTCCTTGAAGAGGCTCTTGGCCAATCATCACGCAAATATGCAGAGTTTGAATCCTTGAGTCGAGCTCTTTAGACAGGCATGTAAATAACAAGGTTACTGAGTTGTTTGGAACCCTGTTGTTTTTGCAGTTGTGTCTTTTCATGAAGTGCTTCAAAACCTGGGATTTTAGCACTTTTTGGAGTTTGCTGCTTGTTTACTGGTTTTAGATTGTACGTTTGGATGACATGTGCGAATCCTGCGCAAACAGCATGAACACTGGCTTCTCGCTGAAACGTGCGACACAGGCGTCCAACAGCCTTCCACGGCCCTTGAGTTTCATCCATCGCGCCCTTCCGCCCCCTTCATCCCCCTTATCCGCCTGTATTTACTCCATTGCCTCCTTGTGCCTCCAACCTACTAGCGATGGCCTCCAACCTAAGAGCAATGGCCTCCAACCTACTAGCGATGGCCCCCTTCATTTATCCTCCTTGTGTTGTTTCATCCCCCTTGTCCAATAACACCGTACTACAGTGGGGGTTCTAATGTCACCATCAGCCAAAACAAGAATCACCCACAGCACCAGAAAATACAGGCCTTTAGAATGTCCAACCCTGATAATATGATGATGTGCTCATTGAGATTTATATATGTGTTGTTTCTTTTCTTTTAGGTTGGAGGCCATCGCTTCTAGGTTGGAGGCCATCGCTAGTAGGTTGGAGACCATCACTATTAGGTTGGAGGCCATTCCTAGATGGTTGAAGGCCAATCTTTTCTTAGACCTGTCTTCTGTTTTTTTTTCTAGTTTTGATTCAACTTTGATTCTGCTTCCACCAAAACAGACTTTGAGGCCTTTGGAGCTGGACCTTGGCATTCAGACGCTCTCGGAACCTGTGGCCACTTCTGAAGCAACTGCTGAAGCTGCGGCAGTGGTCACGGCAGAGGTTACAGCAGAGGGGAACTGCCAGTGCCGCTGTGGCCAACTTATCGTCGCTATGTCTCCTTGCGTTGCTTCTGAAAAAGGAAGAACCAAAAAAGGAACCAGATAGAAGGTCTACAAACACTTTTTCAATTAGGCCAGGTCTTGCCCTTTTTGGGAGACACGTTCTTCTTTTGCACTTTTGTTTACTCAAGAATGCTGCACTACCACATCGAATCAATCCTGGAGGCTACACATGCTGCTAGGAGCTTTCTCCCTTCGGTGCACCGTAGGCTCCCCAGAAGTAAAAACTGCTTTAATCATCACTATTTGTTTGGTCTCCAACCCTTTTGAGAGTCTTTTGACCTCCAAACAATACTGGTGGCTGGCAATTCTTTGCAACTCTCATCCACAAGTTTAATTCTGTCATAAAGACCTCAGGACCAGATTCCTTCGATTTCTTGTGACTTTCGCTTCTTGTTACTAGTAGCGATGCCAGGAGCGCCTAGTAGCGTCCGAATGCTCCGTTCGTAGCGATGCCCTTTGTGACTAGCAGCTGTTGTGGCTTTGTTTGGAAGATAGGATTGCTAGTTGCCGCGCGAAGATGGAGTGAGGAGATGCGTTTCGAAGCAGCTCTGGATTTAGTGTGGTCGTGGACACCCCTCATGCCACCAGTCCTCTTAGAGTCAGGAACGTCCTTCCGAATCAATTTGATTACAAGTGAACCCTGCCCAAATGCCGTGGTTCTGCTCTTCAATGAGGAGCAGAGTAGGGAGGTAATTCCTTTGACTTTGAACAATCTACGGCGAGAGTTTGGCAACAGCTATGTGGCTGCTTTGTGGCGTGCTAGCCTTGCCGAGCCGGTGAATGCAACTTTCCAGGTCTGGAATGATGAGCTCCGTGCCTCTTTGGGCATCTTACAAGTTGGAGGAGGTCAACATGGAGGTCAACCGGGTTTTTTCCCGTCGAAACCCGGTGCCATACCTAGGCTTTCTGGCGAAGTGAGCTTCAAAGGAGCCAGTGGACACCAGTTGCCACCAGAGGAGCAGGTGAATTTGCAAGTGGCAAGTGTTTTGTTGGTCGCATTCTTGGCCTCCTTACTGCTGCTTGTGGTTTGTGTGCTGCTGCGCAAAAATTGGCGTAGTAAGTTGCACATGGTCTTCTTCGCATGCTTCTTTTTGAAGGCTTTGTTGCTTTCTTTCTTGATCATTGATTTGGCTGCCACGGATGCCACTGGACAGCAGTCCTTACTACGGACAGCTTCTTGGCAAATGCTAACACATCTCTTTGAGACTTCTGTGATTTTGCTTTTCTTTTTGATTGGCCTCGGTTGGAAGATCACACGCTCGAACCTCCGGAGCTCTGAATGGACTTTTGGCCTTCTGGCGATGGGCGTGTCCCTGCTGCTTCGAACCATGGAGGTCCTTTGTCGTGCATTGAGAGCCTGTAGCCCGCAGCGCTATTTGCTCACACTCTTTACGGTCAATTCATTTTGCTCTTTGGTCATCATCGTCGCCACCAATTTCAACATTTTTCTCTTGGGTCGACAACTCATTGATGCACATGCCCATTCCACTGAAGCTGGCGTCGTTTATGCCAAGCTTCAGAGCTACATGACCTTCCGTCTTTGCTATTTGTACTTTATCATGATCCCAGTTCTTTGTGGTGCTGCTCTTCGAGTCATCAGCTGGCAAGCGATGTGGATGGTGAAGGAGCTGCTTGAGTGGCTGCTGCTGTCTGCTGTGCTGTGGCTTTGGCGCCCTGGCTATGTAAAGCAAATCCGTGTCTTCGACCTCACAGAGAATACCTTGCGCACCGAGAGCGAGGACGAGGTGGACTCGGATGCGACTCAGTAGAACTTCTCGTGACACTCCTCTGGACAGCAAAGCCGCCCGAAGAAAGTGCAGTGCGGTGCCCATGTTTACGGTTTCTGCCTATCCGACAGACCAAACTTGTTCATGTTGTCGTGCTTCCAAAAGACCAGATCTCACGAGATCAGGAATCTAAGATCTGCTTATAGCGATGCAGAACCGAAGCGCTACTTCCCTTTAAAGACGGAACGGCGGGAACCAGGTGTTCCAAGAACCGAAGCGCTACTTCCCCGTTGAAGTCCGTGGGTCTTTCCAAGTTCCCCAAAGCCTCGGGACAGATTTGGCATTGTTGAACTGGATGATTTGCATCAGATCAACCCATGAGGTCTGAAAGCATCCTTGCTACCAGTAGCGATGCATTTTGCTACTAGTAGCGTCCTTGCCACTAGTAGCAAGGTGCCCCGCTACTAGTAGCAAGGATGCTACTAATAGTAATGCCAGGAGCTACTAATAGCTTTTCATCGGATGTAGATTGATTTTCACCGCAGCGATGCTAGGTGGCGAAGTGCAGATTCTTTGCCGCGGCGACGCGCGAGCTGTGAGTGGAACCCTTGGTTCGGAGTTTGTCCACTGACGTGTCAAGCAGTGAGCGCCCTCTTGCGAGCTTTTCTTCTTTTCTGTTCCTTTTCTCTTGTTACTACTAGTAAGGCACTTGTTACTAGAAGCGATGCACTTGTTCCTAGTAGCTTCTTGTTACTACTAGTAAGGCACTTGTTACTACTAGCTTCTTGTTACTACTAGTAAGGCACTTGTTGCTACTAGCGCTCCTCTTTCGCTCCTTTTTTTTCTCTGTTTCCTTTTTCGCTCGTTTGTGGGATCCCTTTCGCAACTTCTGGTCGAGGTTACTGCCACTGCTCCATATGCCGCCGCCTTTCCGGGTCGGCCTTCTCTGCCCAAGCTCTGTTTGACACTGCACAGGACTGCATCGTCGCATCGGTGAAGGCTACAGACCACTACTTTATACTACTTCTATATACTTCTACAATCAAAAATCCATTAAGATCTACTATCTAGATGGTTCTTTTCGCCTTTCCTTTTACTGATAGGATGCACATGTTGCATGGCCTGGATCAACCCCCATTCCAAAAGGCTTGTACTGAGCTTTCCAAGGATTTTTCTAAAATATACGATTTCTGAAGACCTATTGTCAGGGCTGATGCGGGGACCCCACTCTCCTGCGGGCTTGAACATTTGCCGACATATTATGAAACTAGATTTAGATGATTTGTTGGTTGCCCCGTTCGTAGCTTCTTGCTCCTAGTAGTAAGGCCAGGAGCCCCTAGCAGCGTCCTTGCTCATTGTGTTATCCTTGCTCATTGTGTTATAGATGGTGGTTCATGGTGTTGTTTCTTTGGCCTTTGCAAGTTATCCTGACCAAAGTGCTTTTTCAAACCATGTCCGCCAGGAGCGGCTGTCCCATTTTCTTTTATCTCTTTGGACAGCGAGACCTTCCTTTCATATTTTCTTGGGTTTTGTTCCTTTCTTTTGATTCTTGAACGATTGACCACCTTAGGCCTTGGACTCGACTACCCGACCCTTACCAACACGAATGCCTGTTTGGCTACCCATGCATCCCTGCCATGTAAGCCGCTGCCATGTATGTCATGGATCAGGTCGGCAGTGTGTTGAAACCGAAATCGAAACCACGCGGGGAGGTTGAAGTGAGACTTCAACCCGGAGGCGGTCTCACCTCGTTTCGCACATCCAAAGGACTGTCCTTTGACACAGTCTTTTGCTTTGAAAACAGATCTCGTTTTTGCATGTCAAAACCGCGTTTCTCCAAAACGTCTGTGTATTTGTCTTACAACATAATCTTCCAGTTTCAACATGATTTTGAGAAAACACACAGATGCCCCAGAAGATGCTGTTTCTTCGGATCAGCCAGGAGTGGAGCGGTCGAGATGCGCGTCTTGTATGGCTCCAGTCCGCGGCCTGCTAGGAGGTGCAACCCCGAAACTGACCCTTTTCAAAGTGCTGTGAGTCTGAAGAAGTCCACACTGTGTGATGATCGCCTTTGGCGTAGAGGGAAGACAATAACACACGAAAAGGAAAACAGGGAACACATGAAAAGGTCGAAAAGGGTTAAAGAAACAAAACGAAATGCAGAAAAGGTCTTGGGAAGTTCACCATACGTCATGAAAGCCTACAAGAGGTGAAAGGAAGGAGATACGGATGGGATTTTTCAGGCCAAGTTAGTCCAGAGGTTGGCGTAGGTGAGCTGATGCATACCATCAATCCGAAAGCAGAGACTCAAACCACACACTGCTGATTTCAGGTGAAGCAAAACAACTCAAAGATAGTTAGAGATGGTCTTCACAGATGCAGAGATTATGTGATGTGATGGTATGAACATTGTGCGCACATTGCGTGCAGAGGCAAGATGGCTGCGGTCCCTCTGGGTTTGTTGTGTAGTTGGCGCGAGTCAGATCAATCCACTTTGAGGCAGGGATCTACGATTTTTCAATAGAGTCTGTGGCTAGTAGGTTGGAGGCCATTGTTAGTAGGTTGGAGGCCATTGTTAG